TCTCTCTCTCTCTCTCTCTCTCTCTCTCTCTCTCTCTCTCTCTCTCTCTCCCTCTCCCTCTGTCATTTCTCAGCCTCACCTTCAGATGACCTGGCAGAGCTGGTGCAGGAAAAAGTTTAGGACTCGTTGTAGGAGAGATCCCAAAGGTAAGTCAGTCTCTGCCATTCACTTGCCTGTGAGGAGCTAACACCATGTTTCCCAGGTGAGTTGCAGAGACCTAAGAGGGAAGTTCCTGGGAAGGAAATAATAATACCATGCTCAGGTTCCTGTCTTAGAAGAAAACTATGAGGAGCCAGCTGATAGGTGTTCCTAACAGGGATGTCTCTGGACTATTAGGAGCAATGTTAACCAGGATTTGGAGGTGGGATCCTGAGTAAAGCTGATTCTTTTTTTGAGGTGACCCCATCCTTTCTCCCATAAGTCAGTTAGAAGGATCATGGAGGGTGACAGCTATGGGAGTTACTTATAAATGAATAAGTCCTATCCATCCATCTACTTTGAGAACACTGTCAGTCATGGATCGCATGACCTTGCTCTAGAATCACATGATCAGGCTCTAGAATCTAATCTCATAATCTTTTCTAATGGGGCACCTACAAATTTAGCTTACTATAAAAACCCTATGCCCTATCTTCCATCATCATAACCCAGTCTCCTAATTTCCAGCTTGGGGAGAATGCCTGAAAAAGCTGAAAGAAAAAGGAAAAGATGGATTATTTCTAGAAGAAATTAGCCCAGGACACCATTTGAATTCTTTAGGGAACATGTTTAAGTCACCAAGTACTAAGCAAGACAGCACTACTCTGCCACCTTTCTGGAACCTGAAAGAAAAATCAGAGCAGCAGATGGCCATTCAGAAACTATCATATCCCAAGATTTTGGGGGACCATTTTCAACAGAAATACAACCAGCTTTTCTGGGGTCTCCCTTCTCTGCACAGTGAATCTCTAGTGGCTGCTGCCTGGATCCCCCAGACTTCTACTCTCCCTTCTCCCTTTTTCTTATTCAATGCCATCTCAAGTGGTTATCCAGTTCAAATGCAGGCTCGAATGTCTTCAGTGCTTTCCCACACACATCCCCTGTCCTACCTGGACCTCCAATCTCCACCCTTAATACTGTCTCCACCCAAGTTCCAGCCCCCAACTTTGAATCAAGTCACTCTTCAATCCCCTCTTCCAGCCCTACTGCCCTCTTCTCTATCCTCCTACACAAGGGATTATGGAACATCTTGTTCTCAGTCACAAAGAAAGCTACAGTGTCTCCCTACTGAAATACAATACAGGGAAAGGCCCTCAGTGACAAAACAACTAGAAAGTAGATTGGCTTTACCCTTGATGGTCCAGAGACCTCAAGAAGTCTATGATGTCTTGACCTCCAACATTTCCCAAGACTTGGCAGTCTCTATCCTTCCTGACAATTTTCCAATCAGCTGTGAGCTCCGGGAGAAACTGGAGCAGCACATTCAAAAGTGGCTCATTCAACACCGATGGGATCTTCCTCGGAAGATCCAAGAATCTCTGGAAGTGATGCAGCTTCAGAGCACAGTAATAGAAAGTCAACCCAGAGACAGACCTGGCCCCTCAAGACCCTTTGTGTCTATGGGTGAACATAGCATGGATGGCCAGAAGGTGAGATTCAAGCTAGAAAGGGAATCTGGTAAGAATTTGGGACCTATTCTAGGAAAGATCTCAAAACATCCAATCAAGCACTTGGAAAAAAGTCCAGTAAAGGTAGAAGGGACAAATCTTTCTGAGTCAGAAAGAAATCCAGTAAAGAGCTTGAAGAGTGACTCCAGAAATAACTTAACCAAATGCATAGACGAGAATCTAGAAAATGGCCTGAAAGCTCATTTGGGCACAAAGTCAGGGCAAATCAATCAAGGTCTGATCCCTCTGAGTGTGCGTCGATCCTGGCTTGCTATGAACAATGGATTTACCACGTCTGACACCCATATGGAAACTAGAAACTTAGCATCCTCGAAGAGTTCAGAAAAGTCTGTGAGCTCTTTACAGAAGCTTGCCTTTCTTGATCCAGGCATTCAACAGGCCCTGGAGGCACATGTTGTAAGGTTTTGGGTGAAGCACAGGTGGGGCCTTCCTCTCAAGATACTCAAGCCCATAAATCTCTTTAAGTTGAAAAGTGGTGAGTCCTTGCCCATTGCACTGTATGCCCCACCCTCCTCATCCTCTGTATCTGAGACCAGTTCAGCAGTTGAGGTAGTCGGGTTCCTAGGAAAACCATGTCAGACATGCTTGAGAGAGGTGATAATTAAGGATTCTTCTCCATCATTAGGGAGTCTTCTCCTTGTCTCCTCTCCTTCCTGTAAGGATATTGAGAAAGCCCTGGGAGTGTTTCCATCTGGTGTTGACCAGGAGCCTTCAAAGACCCCACCAACCAAACCAGAGAGCAGGCATCAGTCTGAAACTCTCACACATAAGTTCATGGATATACCCTCTCAGAGTGGGACTGTCTTAGAGAAAGAGAGAGAGACCGAAGAAGTCCTTTTACTGCCTAGAAGGACTAGTGTTCAAAATGCAGGGGCACACAGCCACCAGGCAAAAGTTGTTAGTGAGTTTCCACATAATGTGGAGACAGAATCAACAGGCCAGCCACAAGTCTACACTGCTGCTGTGCTCCTTC